TTTTTTTTGAGTTGGGGGAGTAGAAATAGGGGCATAATGAGGTGGTAAGCAAAGGTTGTTTGAAATTTTTTTTTGTATAATTCTATTTGGTGATGTTTGGGTTGCGGAAAATACATACATCAGCTTTAAAAGGGTTAATTTTTTACCAGGTGAATTTTTTGTTGTGTGTTCCTGCCATTAGTTATCCAGCTAATGTTTAACGGAGAATGTTACTGTCAGGGATTCATCACAGTCACTTCAGTCACCATCCAGGATAATTACCCGATCACAGTCACCTGAGTTCTGATCACCCGCACCTGCTGTCACCAATCAAACCACTACAAATACACACACAGCACAGTCACTCACTGTCCGGTCTACCGTTCACTCCTACGAACTGCTCTGGACTCTCTCTGCCAAATTCTCCTAGAACGAATTACCTGCTGTTCCTCCCGCGATCCTCCAACGACTCCTTGGAAACTGTTCCACGATCTCCAACGTAACCGGCATCCGATCCTCACCATCAGAACTCAGATAAGCACCCTGGAACCATTCACTGTGTTGACACTCACCTGCCTTTAATTCACCTATTCCAGTCATCCCCTTACTCAGTCAGTAAACCATCCTGATTTGCACTTACCTGTTGTGTCTGGCCTTGCTTTGTGACAGTTACAGAATACCAGAACTTAACAAAATGCAAGAAAAGTACTTATCTTTAAAATTCCCACATTTGATTTGTACTTTAAGAGTTTAATGTGACAGCTTTTCACAAGTTACTTGCAAAAGTTTTGTCTAGTTTAATTACATTTTGTTTTATGTAAGGCACCAGAAATTTAGATGTTTAACTGAAAATCCTGAAACCTGACATGAAAATTCAGAATCAACCGTGGCTATTTTAGTTTTCCATTTAAAATAGACTGATAATAGACCATGTTCAGCAATGTTGTAAGTGTTTTGCTTACAATGTGTTGTGATTAAAACGTCTTTTATAAGGAAGGACACACGGCCATTGTGAGGTTTTTACTGAAATGTATTTGCCTGATGTGGGTAAAAGTTATGAAAAATGGGTGCAATTTGTTGTTAGACTACAACTTGTTGTCTACATGAGATAGCAAAGAGTAAAACAAATGATTTGGTCTTGGTAATATAAAATATAGGAAAATGTATTCAGTTTCAGTAGTATTCTAGTAAAGTACAAATTCCTCAAATTAATACTTAAGTAGAATATATCGGTGCAATTGCTCAAGTGTTTTACACCCATGTTACTTTTACAGTGAAACATAAACTGCAGTTAATGTGCAGGCCACTATGTGTCACCCTTGTTCCACTGGCTGTGTTAAAGTCGTGTCTCACCTCCTCCTCCTCCTCCTCCTCATCATGACCAGCCCCCCTCTCTCTGTTTTTGCTCTCTCTGATTCTCTCACCCTCTCCTTCCTATATATCTTGTAGAGAACGTCGGGCTCAGATGTGAAAAACCATCTAGAAATTTGTGGAGTATTGTATGCGGTTTTGAACTAGCTTTGATGATTTTTGACGGATGCAAAATGTCCAAAGCTTTTGGATTTATTGTCGCTATGGTTTTATCCTGAACATAGAAAGGGAGCTTTGGCTGTTTCCTTTTGTCTCTGGTGGCCCGAAACGGATCCTTTATTCAACTGAAATTAAACTCAATTTTTCATAAATTTTGATGGCAATTTTCAGGATTATTGGGGAGAATAAATAAGCAAACATGTTTATATCTACACAGAGGCATTTACAAGCCTGCTTCTCATTTGCTTTGACCTGTCAATTCTTGGAGGCTGTAACCGGACAGATTTTATACAGTGTGTCGGAGGAGGTGAAACAGGGAACCACAGTCGGTAATATAGCTAAAGACATTAACCTTTCAGTAAAAGATCTGCAATCCAGGGGCTTCCGTATTGTGTCAGGCTCTAAAAAGCAGTATTTTAGTGTAAATATAGAGACGGGCGCTTTGCAGGTGAGCGAAAGGATCGATCGAGAGGAGCTTTGCGCAGGCGCAATCTCGTGCTCCGTTAATCTGGAAGCCGTAGTGAGCAGTCCATTACAACTCTACCGGGTAAGAATAAACATTCTCGATATTAATGACAACTCTCCAGTGTTTCCAATTAGCTCTGTTGGGATTAATGTTAGTGAAAATAGATAATTTACTCCTTTATCAGTCGAACACCCCAAAATATTTTGGAGATGTTTGAAATTGAGGCGCAAAGTGGAGATGTCAGAATTAAGGGTGATACTGATTACGAGGAGAAGGCCGCGTTTGAAATCAGAGTTCAAGCCAACGATAAAGGTCCAGTGACTATGTCAGGTCATACTAAGCTTTTAATAGAGGTCCTAGACATTAATGATAACCCCCCAGATGTGACTGTAACATCATTTCTTAGCCCGGTAGAGGAAAACGCGGGAAAGGGAACAGTAATTGCCCTAATGATGGTATCAGATCCAGACTCGGGTAAAAACGGAGCAGTACGCGTTCGCCTTGCCAGCTCCAGTCCATTTAAATTACAGCCATCCTTTCAGAACTACTATTCATTAGCTTTAGATGGCGTGCTGGATCGGCAAAACGTTACAGAGTATAGCATCACAGTCATTGCTGAAGACGAAGGGTCACCGCCAATGTCCAGAGCTAAAGTAATACAAGTGCAGGTCTCTGATGTGAATGACAATGCGCCTCGCTTCCCAAATTCTGTAGTTTATGCATATCTGCGCGAAAACAGCAAATTGGGCTCCATTATATCCACAGTGAGGGCCTCTGATGCTGATATCATGGAAAATGCACAAATAACATACTCTTTACTGCAAAGCTCTGTCACTGGTAGTCCTGTTTCAGCGCTCTTTAAAGTAAACTCATTGACGGGAGAGATCGAGAGCATGAAGTCATTTAACTATGAAGATATAAAAACGTTTGAGTTTAAAGTTCAGGCCACAGACTCTGGTGTTCCTCCGCTCTGCAGTAACGTGACTGTAAATGTTTTTATCCTGGATGAGAATGACAACAGTCCCGGGATTCTCGCGCCCTATTCCGAGCTCGGTTCCGTTAACACAGAGAACATTCCCTATTCTGCTGATGCGGGCTACTTTGTGGCCAAGATCAGGGCTGTAGATGCAGATTCTGGTTACAATGCGCTGCTGTCTTACCACATCTCTGAACCCAAAGGAAACAATCTGTTCCGAATCGGAACCAGCAGCGGGGAGATCAGGACTAAGAGGAGAATGAGTGACAATGACCTGAAAACTCACCCGCTGGTCATTTTGGTTTGTGATAACGGAGAGCCCTCACTGTCAGCGACTGTGTCTATTGATGTTGTGGTTGTTGAAAGCGCAGATGAAGTCAAGACCACATTCAGACATGCGCCGATAAAGGAGGAGAGTTTCTCGGATTTAAATCTGTATTTGCTGATCGCCATTGTGTGCGTGTCCGTCATCTTTTTACTGAGTCTCATCAGTTTGCTAGCTGTAAAATGCCACAGGACAGACAGGAGTTTGGGCAGGTACAGCGCCCCGATGATCACCACACACCCTGACGGGAGCTGGTCTTACTCCAAATCTACTCAGCAGTATGACGTGTGTTTTAGCTCCGACACACTGAAGAGTGACGTAGTGGTTTTCCCTGCGCCATTTCCGCCTGCAGATGCAGAACTGATCAGTATTAATGGAGGAGACACTTTTACCAGAACACAAACACTTCCTAACAAAGAAAAGGTAAGAGATTGACTTATTTTCATTGCGATTCTTTGTTTTCGTTTTGTACAATTGGTGGGATTAGTGTTTCCTCTCATTGACTTGTTTTTATTGACAGTTACATTAGCAATTTCCGAGACTTAAAATGTTAAAAGTGGCTTTAAGGTTAATAGTGTTTTGCTGAAGTAAACAGACTTACTGGAATGACTTAATATATCACTATCGCACAATAAAACCAAATTGTCTTTTCTTTTGCAGAGCTGTCCGTGGTTCTGAACTAGTCGGTGTCTTTTTGATGAACATCGCTGCAACTACTTCTATTTTTCCTGTTACTAATACGAATTTATTAATTTGTTTGAAAATATTGCATTGTAACCAGAATTTTCAAACTTGCTTAAATGTGAAATGATAGCGATGCTGCACAAATGAATAATTGTAATACGCATACATTTTAATTTATGGTAATACTAATATATTAGTTTAATTATTTAGTTATATAAAGGCATACATTTAGTAATATAAGAGAATTGGATGCTATAGAAGATCATGTTGCTCATAGTGAAATCTAGTTAAGTCGTTTAAAAATATCTCGATATGAAAGATGAATACAGAACATGCAAATGCAAAATATATTGTTTTAATGACGAAAATGCCCCCATATCCTCTAATATGTTGGACACACCAAAAAAAAAAAACTATATATTTTCTTTTAGTATTAGTAAAAAAAATAAAAAAAAGACAAATATCTGCAATTTGATATGATGATCTGTTTGTGGTATTAGGGTTTTTGGTGGATATTAATTAATTAATCCGCGTGGTGTCACTATAGCCCGTTGAATTTCGAGCTGTCTCCAGTGTCTGGAAGCCCCTCCCGGTTTTAGTTGGGAGGAGATTTCACACGGCTTTGTTTCAGAGAGACTGGACGTTTAAGAGAGTGTCCGAAGGCCTCCTGTTTTCTCTTCGCTAAAATGGAATATTGTCTAATATTTCTTTATTCGCATTGATGAACTTGGAACACTATCTTTTATTTCGTGGATCACTGCACGGGATTCACTGGATGTAATAATGTTCTCGCCATACAGAAGGAAATCTATTGTGGCCTGTATTGTGCTCGTTGTTTTAGAGTGTTGTTGGGACGCGGTATCAGGGCAGCTCTCTTATTCTGTATCAGAGGAGGTGAATCCGGGAACATCAGTGGGAAATATCGCTAAGGATCTAAACCTTAATGTTCAGGAACTGGAATCGCGCATGTTTCAGATTGTCACGGGATCCAAGAAAAAATATTTCGAGGTAAATCTAAAAACTGGGTTTCTGTATGTGAGCGAAAGAATAGACAGAGAGGAGCTTTGTGCCAAAGCACCCAAATGTACAGTCAATGTAGAAGCGGTTATCAACAGTCCATTAAAGCTTTATCAGATAGAAATTAATATTGTGGATGTAAATGACAATGCCCCAACTTTTAGTGACAAAACTCAGTATTTAGACATCGCAGAGAACACTTCACCAGGCGTAAAATTCCCTCTTTCTTATGCGTCTGATGCGGATGTAGGAAAAAATACTGTGAACACATATAAACTAAGCCAAAATGAACATTTTTCTTTAGCTGTGCACAAAGGAGGAGAGCAGAGTGTCTCTGCCGAGCTAGTTCTACAAAAAGCGTTAGACCGAGAGAAACAGACTGTGATCCAGCTCACACTGACCGCTGCGGATGGAGGAAATCCACCGAGATCAGGCACATCTCAAATAATTATTAGAGTTTTAGATAATAATGATAATGCTCCTGAGTTCAGTCGCCCTTTATATAAAGCTAGTCTTGTTGAAAACTTGCCAATTGGTACCACTCTGATCATTTTAAACGCAACAGACAAAGATGAGGGTACCAATAGTGAGATCGTTTACTCGCTTAGAAAGACAGATCAAGATCACATTTTAGACATTTTTCAAATTGATCCGAATACTGGTGCCATCACAGTTAAAGGCAATATAGATTTCGAGGAGAACAATGCATTTGAGATCCGCGCACAGGCCAGTGATAAAGGACAGCCCAGCCTCCGATGTCCACGCACTGCAAAATCCTGGTGGAGGTGCTGGATATTAACGACAATGAGCCAGAGATAACCGTGACGTCACTCCTCAGTACAGTGAAAGAGGACGCCAGTTTTAGCACTGCTGTCGCTCTCGTGTCAATGATTGACAGGGACGGCGGCAAAAACGGTGTAGTTAATTGTGTTGTGTCTAACAAAGTGCCGTTTAAACTTGAGACGAATTACAAAAAATATTATTCTCTAGTGGTAGGGCTGTAGATGCAGATTCTGGTTACAATGCGCTGCTGTCTTACCACATCTCTGAACCCAAAGGAAACAATCTGTTCCGAATCGGAACCAGCAGCGGGGAGATCAGGACTAAGAGGAGAATGAGTGACAATGACCTGAAAACTCACCCGCTGGTCATTTTGGTTTGTGATAACGGAGAGCCCTCACTGTCAGCGACTGTGTCTATTGATGTTGTGGTTGTTGAAAGCGCAGATGAAGTCAAGACCACATTCAGACATGCGCCGATAAAGGAGGAGAGTTTCTCGGATTTAAATCTGTATTTGCTGATCGCCATTGTGTGCGTGTCCGTCATCTTTTTACTGAGTCTCATCAGTTTGCTAGCTGTAAAATGCCACAGGACAGACAGGAGTTTGGGCAGGTACAGCGCCCCGATGATCACCACACACCCTGACGGGAGCTGGTCTTACTCCAAATCTGCTCAGCAGTATGACGTGTGTTTTAGCTCGGACACACTGAAGAGTGACGTAGTGGTTTTCCCTGCGCCATTTCCGCCTGCTGATGCAGAACTGATCAGTATTAATGGAGGAGACACTTTTACCAGAACACAAACATTTCCTAATAAAGAAAAGGTAAGAGATTCAAGTATTTCCATTGCGATTCTTTTTTTTTTATTATTAGTGGGACTTCTGGTGTTTCCTTTCATTGTCCTGTTTTATTGACAGACAATTACATTAGTTTCTGAGACTTAAAATGTTAAAAGTGGCTTAATGGTTAATAGCTTTTTTTTTTTTTTTTTTGGCTGAAGTAAACAGACTTACAGGAATGGCTTAATATTATTATTTTTGCATAATACAAAATTTTCGCGCTGTTGTGGAGCTGTCCGTGGTTCTGAATTGGTCCTGGTCTTTTTGATGAACATCGCCGCAACTACTTGTTTCTCCTGTTACTATTATGTATGTATTTGTTTATTTATAAGTTTGTTTGTTTCAAAATAGTCTGCTTTGTATTTTCAAACTTTCTAAATGTGAAATGATGATAGCTACGCTGTACGAATGAGTAATTGTAATATGCATAATTTTAAATTAATTTACGATGATATTAATATATTTATTAGTCTCATAGTTTAGTTATATAAAGTAATCCTTGCTGTAATGTAAGGGAATTTGATACTATAGAACTGCATGTTGCTCATAGTGAAATCTAATCTAATCTAATTAAGTCTTTTAAAAATATCGGTGTAACTTTCTATGAAGCCCGTATTAATAATACATTATAAGCGTATTCTTAAGTGATTATAATGAATGCATAATGCATTATAAAAAACCTTCTAACATGTTGTATGATCTCATACATAATCATAACAACAATTATAATACATTGTAATACTTACAGTGGTGTGAAAACGTGTTGGCCCCCTTCCTGATTTTTTATTATTTTGTTTGTCACACTTTAATGTTTCAGATCATCAAACAAATTTAAAATATTTAAATTTGTTTGATGATCTGAAACATTAAAGTGTGACAAACATGCAAAAAAATAAGAAATCAGGAAGTGGGCCAACACTTTTTCACACCACCGTAAGCATCTGTGGTTATAACTTCTAAGAGTATGATTATTTAGAACACACAATTAATACCATATTAAATCCACTTAATTTATAATGGATTATCTCATATCGTGACATTGTTTATTTAAGATCTGCACAGTATCTTACTACATCTTGTGAGAGGTTAGGAGTATTTAAATGCTTTAGAATGTTTCCTGTGAGGTTAATGTTAATTTTGCTGTGAGCTAGAATCAGACCCGGTTCTTGACAGATATAGAAGGGTGGGCTGGCAGATATCTTGGGTGGGCTTTTTTTTTTGGTTGATATTGCAAGGGGAAAATGTCTAGATATTTATACTGTAGATATTGCTATATTAACTATAGTATATGTACACTGAAAAAAGCTTTAATGGGCAGCCTAGAACTAGAATATCATGCATTTTCAAAACAAAATAAACTTTTTTTCATTGTTGAATAGTAAAAAAAAAAAGACCAGACCACTATGGTAATGGTAAAGGAACTAAATAAATAAATTATGTAAATGGATTTAGTGGAATAAATTAAAAGAAGAGAAAAAAACAGTCAAAGAACAAGAATAAGATTTTTTGTAAAATAATCAATCTGAACTGCAAATAATATTTTTATTTTAAAATATGCACCCATTAAATTTTAGTTGTATTCCTAATATGGTGAAAACGCAAAACAGAAAAAATTCTATTGTCACAATAATTATGAATTACATGAATCACGTAAATGACAGCCCTACTCTCAATTCAAAACGGCGAAATGGTGTCACTATAGCCCGTTGAATTTCGAGCTGTCTCCAGTGTCTGGAAGCCCCTCCCGGTTTTAGTTGGGAGGAGATTTCACACGGCTTTGTTTCAGAGAGACTGGACGTTTAAGAGAGTGTACGAAGGCCTCCTGTTTTCTCTTCGCTAAAATGGAATATCGTCTAATATTTCTTTATTCGCATTGATGAACTTGGAACACTATCTTTTATTTCGTGGATCACTGCACGGGATTCACTGGATGTAATTATGTTCTCGCCATACAGAAGGAAATCTATTGTGGCCTGTATTGTGCTCGTTGTTTTAGAGTGTTGTTGGGACGCGGTATCAGGGCAGCTCTCTTATTCTGTATCAGAGGAGGTGAATCCGGGAACATCAGTGGGAAATATCGCTAAGGATCTAAACCTTAATGTTCAGGAACTGGAATCGCGCATGTTTCAGATTGTCACGGGATCCAAGAAAAAATATTTCGAGGTAAATCTAAAAACTGGGTTTCTGTATGTGAGCGAAAGAATAGACAGAGAGGAGCTTTGTGCCAAAGCACCCAAATGTACAGTCAATGTAGAAGCGGTTATCAACAGTCCATTAAAGCTTTATCAGATAGAAATTAATATTGTGGATGTAAATGACAATTCTCCGTCTTTCAGCGAGAAATCACAAACGCTAGAAATTGCTGAGACCACCACTTTGCCTGGTGTTAGATTTCCTCTCCATCACGCTACAGACGCAGATGTTGGGAAAAATTCAATAAATACTTACAAGCTTAGCACGAACGAGTATTTTTCTTTAGCTGTCCACAAAGGAGGGGAACAGAGTGTGTCTGCTGAATTAGTGCTGCAGAAAGCTTTAGATCGAGAGAAACAGCCTGTGATCCAGCTCACATTGACCGCTGTAGACGGAGGAACCCCATCTAAAACAGGCACATCTCTTATAATTATCAAAGTTTTAGATATTAATGATAATGCTCCTGCTTTCAGTAAGCCCTTGTATAAAGCAACCATTTTTGAAAATGTGGCTATTGGAACGACAATTGTGGCGTTAAATGCGACAGACTTTGATGAAGGTACTAATAGTGATATTGTTTATTCTATAATTAAAAGAGATCAGAATAAAATCCTGCAGATTTTTGAAATTGACCCGAATACTGGTGCCATCACAGTTAAAGGCAATATAGATTTCGAGGAGAACAACGCATTTGAGATCCGCGCACAGGCCAGTGATAAAGGGCAGCCTCCGAGTATGACGTGTGTTTTAGCTCGGACACACTGAAGAGTGACGTAGTGGTTTTCCCTGCGCCATTTCCGCCTGCTGATGCAGAACTGATCAGTATTAATGGAGGAGACACTTTTACCAGAACACAAACACTTCATAATAAAGAAAAGGTAAGGCTCGTTCCTTGAAGCGCAGATATTTGTGTGCAGTTTTTATATAGAATTTAGCATTTGCTCACGTTTTAGATTATAGGCTTAATAAACTGAAAGCTCGCTTCTAGAACTGGTTTTATTATTATTTCTAATGTCAACAATATATTATTTTTTTAACACGCGTGCAGATTTTCGCCATTAAAAAAAAAACCCCGATCAGCTGAATCTGCTTTTTATTTCGTGATGTTGAAGTTATTTCAAGAGCTCTCTAATGTTTTTTTTTCTGTAATAATAATAATAATAATTATTATTATTATTATCATTGCATCGTATGCTAAAATTACACTTTTCATTAACAGTATGTATTGTATTGTTATGTTTCTATTTGGCTATTATTCAGATTTGATCAATTGTATAGGCCTAACATATTTTCACAGTATCTTAGATTATCTGATGGCAATCAGTAGCATCTTATCTTCATGAATATCTGGTGAATTGTTTTCTACGTTATCTTTTTAAAATACGTGTAATTTTGAGATCAGAAAATGTTGGGTATTTTCAAGTATTGAGCATGATTGTCCACACGGTGTCAGTGGCAACCCATGTAAGTTTTCTTGTGTTTTTGTAAAGCTCCTCCTTTCATTGGGTAGGGATCCTCGCCTCGTCAGAGGTCTTTGTTCGAGAGGAAAGGGCCGCCTTGGAGTTGCTATGTCGGTGTCTTTGGGAAAGCAGTAAGCCTGTAATGGAATATGTGAATGATATATTTTTTGTGTAATCTACAGTTTTACTAACCAGAGGAAATATGGACCTAACAGATTACTGTTGGAGCTTTAAGTGGATTTTTATTGTGTTTTTCTTTAATAACTGGAATAACGCAAACGGGCAGATTGTGTATTCTGTGTCGGAGGAGGTGAACACCGGGACCACGGTAGGAAATTTAGCAAAGGATCTAAACTTGAATGTACAAGACCTTGAGAGGAGAGGATTTCAGGTCGTCACAGGACCTAACCAAAGATATTTTGATCTACATGCAAACAATGGTATTCTCTTCGTCAGAGAAAGAATAGACCGAGAGGAGCTGTGCGGTCGGAGCTCTAAATGCGCTTTAGAGTTGGAGGCTATTGTTAGTGTGCCGATGAACATATACAGATTTGAGGTAAATATTTTAGACGTTAATGACAATGCACCGACATTTCGCACCTCAAAATTGTATCTTAATATTTCTGAACAGACATTTCCAGGGCAGAGATTTACATTACCAAGTGCTTTCGATCTCGATGTTGAAGTTAATTCGATAAAAAGCTATAAACTGAGTCCGAATGAGCACTTTTCTTTGGATGTGCAAAACGGAGGAGACCAGAGTGTATCTGCAGAATTAGTGCTGCAGAAAGCTTTAGATCGAGAGAAACAGCCGGTGATCCAGCTCACAGTGACCGCTGTCGACGGAGGAAAGCCTCCAAAATCTGGTACGACGCAGATCATAGTTAATGTAGCAGATGTGAATGATAATATTCCTGTGTTCGACAAGCCACTTTATAAAGCGCGGATACCAGAAAACTCACCGCCCGGTGCTTCTGTGATCACAGTGAACGCAAAAGATGCAGACGAGGGGCTTAATGGTGAAGTAATCTACTCCTTTATAAATCATGATAATGATAACACTGTAAATGCTTTCTCTATCAACCCAATTACTGGTGAGATAACCATAAAGGACCCCATAGATTATGAAGAAACTGCTGCAATTGAAATTCGTGTTCAGGCCGAGGATAAAGGCCCAAATCCACGAGCATCACATTGTAAGGTCTTAGTCGAAGTAATTGACCTAAATGATAACGTACCAGAAATAAGCGTAATGTCTTTGGTTAATGAAGTGAGAGAGGATTCGTCTCCAGGTACAATGGTGGGATTAATCACAGTAAAAGATGGCGACGCTGGTAAAAATGGTGTTGTGCAGCTCAAAATAAAGGACACTGTGCAATTTAGATTAGACAATACATACAGAAACAGATATTCGTTAATGGTTAACGGTCCGCTGTTCCCTGCGCCATTTCCGCCTGCTGATGCAGAACTGATCAGTATTAATGGAGGAGACACTTTTACCAGAACACAAACATTTCCTAACAAAGAGAAGGTAAGAGAGCAAACACATTATTCTGTTTGCTGTGGTCTAGAACTGCTGTTTTCATTTCTTGAATTATTCTTGCTGTATATGGATATATATATATATATATATATATATGTGTGTGTGTGTGTGTGTGTGTGTGTGTGTGTGTGTGTGTGTCAAACTGAGGGGAAAATTATTATTAACCATTACATTTTTTTCTCCTTTAAATATTTTATTTCTGTTGCTCATAGGTTTAAATGTTTTTTTTTCGTCTTTTCCACTAACGCATTCTGTCCGTGTTGCTGAAAACGCTAATGTAAAAAGACCTTTAAACCTATTGTTTGCAATTAGTAGGCTTATTGTCTGTTTGATTCTCATTTACATTCACAATATGATCTACATCTTTTAATTTTCATTTGTCTTCTGCCCCGTCTCGTCCTCCTAAATAATTGGTGCGGTCCATGGTGCTGATAGCGTTGACCATAAATAGCATTATAATCATGCATTTTACACCGCTGGCTTGATTTATTTGACAGTTTCAATTATTGCTTTTGTTTAGTAATTTCGATTTGTGTGTTTTTAATTGCAGTATGTCAAGTACATGAGCGGTTGTGTTTATGGACTTTTTAAAACTCAGGTCACGCTGATTCAACCATGAATAAATATTAGCTTAGTAATGAAATATAAATTATTAATTTAAAATTATTTTATTTTTAATTAATTAAGTAATTAATGAATAAGATCATGTGATTTCATTAGTGTTTGTCCAGAGACATTTTCGCTCATGTTCAGCAAAATGGAGACAGACTTTGTCCATTTCACTTCAAACATATTTAGCCTCTCAATATATAATTGTCTGTTCCATGCTATGTACATCCACGAGGTGTCATCAGCGACCTGAGTTAAAATTATCTGTTTTCTCTCTCTCTCTCTCTCTCTCTCTCTCTCTCTCTCTCTCTCTCTCTGCGAGACTCCTCCCCGTTTTGGGGGCAGGGCGTTTGAGCTACAGAGGGCTTTGTTCGTGAGAAGCCACAATATAGATTTTCTGAATCGTAGTGCAGAACGTGGTTTATTTTACTACAACTGTCTGCGGATGTTTTTAATGTTTTTAGTTTTCCTGTGGATGTGATGCTGACGGATCATGGCGAATTCACTAAAGGAACGAAATATATTGTGGATATATATGACTGTATTTTATTTTCTTCCGAGGATATCTTCCGGGCAGATTGTGTATTCTGTGTTGGAGGAGGCCAGTCCGGGGACTACAGTAGGCAATATAGTAAAAGATTTAAACCTTAATTTGCAAGAACTGGAAAACCGTGGATTTCAGATCGCTTCTGGACCCAACAAGAGGTATTTCGATGTAAATATGAAAACGGGAATACTTCAAATCAAAGATAAAGTAGACAGAGAGGAGCTATGTGGACGTAGCTTAAAATGTGCCTTAGAATTGGAGGCCATTGTTAATTCGCCATTGAACATGTACCGATTTGAAGTACATGTATTGGATATAAACGACAATTCTCCAACATTTCACTCTTCATCGTTACAATTAAATGTATCTGAAGCGGCATTTATAGGGGAAAGGTATGCATTACCAAACGCGTTAGACACGGATGTGGGCAGTAATTCGGTAAAGAGCTACAAACTCAGTGCAAATGAACACTTTTCTCTCGATGTTCAGAGCGGAGGGGAACAGAGTGTGTCGGCTGAATTGGTGCTGCAGAAAGCTTTAGACCGAGAAAAACAGCCGGCGATCCAGCTCACAGTGACCGCTGTAGACGGAGGAAAACCTCCAAGATCAGGAGCAATAAGTATAATTGTTAATATCATAGATGCAAACGACAATATTCCTGTGTTTACAAAGTCACTTTACAAAACACGAATTCCAGAAAATGCTCCCATTGGAACTTCCGTTATTACAGTACACGCGAGTGATGCGGACGATGGACTAAATGGAGAGATTGTATATTCATTCATTAAACATGTTAATGATAGAAATATCGAGTCATTCGCAATCAATCAAGTTTCTGGTGAAATAACAGTTAATGGTAAATTAGACCACGAATCAAATAATGCTATTGAAATACGTGTACAAGCGAGAGATAGAGGTTCGCTTCCAAGAGCAGCTCATTGTAAAATATTGGTCGAAATAATGGACATTAACGACAATATTCCTGAAATATCTGTAACGTCTTTTGTTAATGTTGTGAAGGAGGATTCACAAAAAGGGACAATGGTCGGTCTGATTACAGTAAAAGATGGCGATTCTGGCGAAAATGGATCTGTAAAATTGAAAATAGTCGATTCCCTTCCGTTTGTATTACAGAACACTTATAAGAATAAATATTCTATGGTTGTTAACGGGCCTTTAGACAGAGAGCGCGCATCTGAGTATAATAATAAAGAAAAGGTAAGAATGTAAATATGTATCTACATACGAGGATTTAAAAAAAATATTTATTTATTAATTTATTTGTATTTGTATTTTTTTGTTTGCTGCTGCTGCATTTTGCTGTCCGTGGTACTGAAACTCTCTATTGTTATTGATCACACGCGGCTTTGAATCTATCTCTTTACCATCTAGGTGTTTCAACTGATTTCAGTCTTATTTTCCATCTTCAACTTCCTGTTCTTCTTTCTAATGTTGTTTTTGCCTTGGTGGATTTTTAAAGAGCAGAAAAAAATAATAAATTTCAAAAATAATAAATAAATAAATACAATAATAATAAAGTTCTCAGAGTTTAATACTTAAGAGATTTTTAAAACTTGTTTACTGCTAAAAACACAAAAGTTTTAGTACATCTGTCAACAACACTGTGAAACATCAAGTTTTCTTTTTTAACTGATTGTTTGTATTATTATTATTATTATTATTATTATTATTTGCCTTTTCTGGAAAAGCCTGTCTTAATCATACAACATTTTTACCGTGCACATTCAGCGGTTTATATACATGCTTTGAGTTGTCAAATATTTCTGCTCTTCCACTAGAGGTCACCATCAGTCCATGGTTAATCTCTTTGCTTTTGTGTTCGCGTGTCTCCGCCTTGTTTTTCGCAGCGGGTGTAGCGTCAAATGGCTTTGTTCGAACGATGCTACAGCTCTCAGCCTCCTCTCTGCTTTAGTGGATAAAAGACGAAACTAAAACGAATGCTGATATCTTGATGAATATTGTCTTTGTTTTTAAACGGAATATGGCAATAGCTTTGGTCCATGATTGTCTTCCAACGATTCTTTTATATATGTTGTTTTTCTTTGGGAGTATCGCCGACGGGCAGGTTGTATATTCAGTGTCGGAAGAAGCAAACCCGGGAACAACAGTCGGCAACCTTGCAAAGGATTTAAAACTGAATTTACAGGATTTACATAATCGAGGATTTCAACTAGTATCTGGAACAAATAAGAGGTATTTCGATTTAAATACAAAAACTGGAATTCTTCATATTAAAGACAGAATCGATAGAGACGAACTGTGCGGACGGAGCTTAACATGCTGTCTCCCATTGGAAGCTATTGTTAATGTGCCATTAAACGTTTACCGTTTTGAAGTTAACATTATAGATATAAATGATAACACACCTACATTTCGCTCTCCTGTGAAATATTTTAATATATCAGAGTCGGCATTTCCTGGTGAAAGATTTCCATTGCCGAATGCGTTTGACGCGGATGTGGGCAGTAATTCGGTAAAGAGCTACAAACTGAGTGCGAATGAACACTTTTCTCTGGATGTTCAGAGCGGAGGAGAGCAGAGTGTGTCTGCTGAATTGGTGCTGCAGAAAGCTTTAGATCGCGAAAAACAACCAGTGATCCAGCTCACAGTGACCGCTGTAGACGGAGGGAAACCTCCAAGGTCAGGGACAATAAATCTAATTGTTAATATTGAAGATGTGAATGATAACATTCCAGTGTTCAGTAAACCTCTATTGAAAGCTCGAGTAGTAGAAAACGCTCCGCTTGGCACCTCCGTAATCCAAGTTCACGCCAGTGATCCAGATGAGGGACTAAACGGTGAAATCGCATATTCATTAGTGAGCCAAGATAGCGATAATAATGTAGATGCATTCTCGATAGATTCTGAAACCGGTCTTATAACTGTGAAAGGCACTGTAGACTATGAAAAAGGCGCTGCTGTTGAAATTAGAGTACAAGCTAAAGACAAAGGCCTTAAACCACGAGCCGCATACTGCAAAGTGTTGGTGGAGATAATGGACATAAATGACAATAGACCAGAAATTTCTGTTACCTCCTTAGTAAATACTGTTAAAGAAGATGCAGCTAATGGTACAGTGGTTAGTATGATAACTGTACTGGATAATGATGCGGGAAAGAATGGGGAAATTCAGCTTAAGGTTCGCGATTCGTTGCCATTCAAAGTTCAGAACTCGTACAAGAACTATTATACTTTAGTGGTTAACGGGCCTTTAGACAGAGAGCGGTTTACCAGAACACAAACATTTCCTAATAAAGAAAAGGTAAGAGATTTTTTTTATTAAAATTGAGGAAAACACATTATTCTCTTCGCTGTGGTTTAGAACTGATGTTTCTTTTCTTTAATTATTCGTGCTGAATATCATTTTTTTTTCCATATTAAGACTGCGGGGAGGAAATTATGAACCATTACCTTTTTTTTCTTCCTAAATATTTTATTTCTGTTGCGCACATGTTTAGAATGTAATTCTATCGTGATCGTCTTTTGCTCTAAGGCCCTCTGTCCGTGGTGCTGAAAACGCAAATATGAAATCCACTGTTCTTTCATCTTATATTGCCATGTATATATTGTGGCGAATTTAGTCTTTGTTTAGTTTTCGAGCTATATATCTAACTGCCGTCCTCTCTGTTGTCTTGACTGTTTATTGTTTTGCTTGTGGTTGCAAAGTATTGTAATTATTCATTTAGAGTGCACATACAGATTTTTCGCACAGTGGACATTGCATTTACATGGTGGTTATTCTTAATATGTATTTGGAGCTGTTTGTGGTACTGAATACCTGGCGCCCAAACATCAAGATAGCAGATTTTGTCACATCCGATCACAAGGCCTCATTTTTTCTTGTCGTCAGAATCACAACATTTATATGATGCAATACAGCCCAAACAAATAAACAAATGAGAACGATAGAGAAATCAATATTTTTGGCACGTTTGGTATAGCATTTTTAATGTAATGAAACTTCATTTTCCCTAGTTTTAATTTTATTTAAATGCAGTGTGAATTGACAAAACTTACAGACATAAAACAGTATATATACAATTAATTTTTTGGTTAGTTTTAATTATCCACTAATAACATTGTTCAATAATATAAGTAAATAGTTTTAAATTCTTCTATTGTGATTTTAAAGATATTGGGTCTCTTCTTACTGAATTATCTTCACTTCAATTTGTCCGCGCGGTGTCGTTAGAGACTGGGATTTTATCTTACCTCAGCTATGCAAAGCTCCTCCTCAGTTAGGGAGGGTTCAGTTTATCACGTGGGGCTTTTGTTCGCGAAATACCCCAGTACTGTCTCTGTTTTTGCATGAGCTGTGAGGAATTACGGTGTTGTTTGGTTATTACCGAATGGATGAGACTGATTTATTGACGGAATTGTGAAAATGCAGAAACGCGGATTTAAATGGTGGATGTATTTTATTGCAACGTTTTCAATTTGGAATATTACCGATGGGCAGATTGTGTATTCGGTATCGGAGGAGGCGGATCCGGGAACCACAATGGGAAATATAGCGAGAGATTTGAACCTAAATCTTCAAGATCTAGAGCATCGTGGATTTCAATTCGTTTCAGGCCCAAATAAGAGGTATTTCAGTGTTAATTTAAAAAGTGGTGTTGTTCTCCTCAAAGAGAGAATAGACAGGGAACAGTTATGCGGAAGGAGCAATAAATGCTCTCTGGAATTAGAAGCTATTGTTACTTCCCCCTTAAACATGTATCGACTGGAGGTGAATGTTTTAGACATAAACGATAATTTTCCCACTTTTAAGTCACAAAAGACGGAACTAAATATTGTAGAATCAGCCTTCCCGGGGGAGAGATTTACTTTACCAAGTGCGTTTGACGCTGATGTGGGCAGTAATTCGGTAAAGAGCTACAAGCTGAGTCCGAATGAGCATTTTTCTCTGGATGTTCAGAGCGGAGGAGAGCAGAGTGTGTCGGCTGAGTTAGTGCTGCAGAAAGCTTTAGACCGAGAGAAACAGCCTGTTATCCAGCTAACACTGACCGCTGTAGACGGAGGAAAACCTCCCAAATCAGGAACATCGCAAATTATTATTAATGTTGAGGATGTTAATGATAATATTCCTGTATTTAGTAAATCTCTTTACAAAACACGAATAACGGAAAACGCGCCCCAAGGCACCTCTGTTGTCATGGTCCATGCTAGTGATGCTGACGAGGGTTTAAATGGAGAAATAATGTATTCATTTATAAGCCATGATGAGGATAGTGTGGTAAACGCTTTTACCATTGATTCTGTGAGTGGTGTAATCTCAGTTAAAGAGAATATTGATTACGAAACTAGCAATGCTGTAGAAATTCGTGTCCAAGCAAAGGATAAAGGCCAGAAACCAAGGGCTGCTCATTGTAAAGTTTTAGTTGAAATTGTTGATGTTAATGATAATGTACCTGAAATTTCCGTGACATCTCTTGCTGAAACAGTGAGAGAAGACGCTGCTGCTGGTACAATGGTGGGATTGATCACCGTTAAAGATGAAGACGCAGGAAAAAATGGAGTAGTGGTTCTTAAGTTATGCGATTCTGCACATTTTCGTATACAGAATACTTATAAAAATAAATATTCTCTGGTTGTAGATGAAACTCTAGACAGAGAGCGCGCATCTGAGTATAACGTGACTATCACAGCTACTGATGAAGGGACTCCGCCTCTCTCTAGCACCAGTGTCATTACTGTACACGTTTCTGATGTGAATGACAACGCGCCGTGCTTTCCAGAGCCCATCATTAATGTTTATGTGAAAGAGAACAGTCAGATTGGAGCTGTTATTCATACAGTATCTGCTTTTGATCCTGACGTAGGTGATAATGCTCGGATAACATATTCTTTACTAGAAAGCTCGAAAAGCGGCCCAGTAACATCCATGATCAACATAAACTCTGACAGTGGAGATATACACAGTTTACAGTTGTTTAACCATGAGGAGACAAAAACCTTTGAGTTTAAAGTTCAGGCCACAGACTCTGGTGTTCCTCCGCTCAGCAGTAACGTGACTGTAAATGTTTTTATCCTGGATGAGAATGACAACAGTCCCGGGATTCTCGCGCCCTATTCCGAGCTCGGTTCCGTTAACACAGAGAACATTCCCTATTCTGCTGATGCGGGCTACTTTGTGGCCAAGATCAGGGCTGTAGATGCAGATTCTGGTTACAATGCGCTGCTGTCTTACCACATCTCTGAACCCAAAGGAAACAATCTGTTCCGAATCGGAACCAGCAGCGGGGAGATCAGGACTAAGAGGAGAATGAGTGACAATGACCTGAAAACTCACCCGCTGGTCATTCTGGTTTGTGATAACGGAGAGCCCTCACTGTCAGCGACTGTGTCTATTGATGTTGTGGTTGTTGAAAGCGCAGATGAAGTCAAGACCACATTCAGACATGCGCCGATAAAGGAGGAGAGTTTCTCGGATTTAAATCTGTATTTGCTGATCGCCATTGTGTGCGTGTCCGTCATCTTTTTACTGAGTCTCATCAGTTTGATGGCTGTAAAATGCCACAGGACAGACAGGAGTTTGGGCAGGTACAGCGCCCCGATGATCACCACACACCCTGACGGGAGCTGGTCTTACTCCAAATCTGCTCAGCAGTATGACGTGTGTTTTAGCTCGGACACACTGAAGAGTGACGTAGTGGTTTTCCCTGCGCCATTTCCGCCTGCTGATGCAGAACTGATCAGTATTAATGGAGGAGACACTTTTACCAGACACTTCACACTTCATAATAAAGAAAAGGTAAGATAACGTAATACATATTTTGTTTTATTGGTAAAGTATGATTTCGACTTTTACCAGAACACAAACACTTCATAATAAAGAAAAGGTAAGATAACGTAATACATATTTTGTTTTATTGGTAAAGTAAGTCTTATGATTTCGAGCTACATATCTAATCGGCATCCTCTCTGCTGTCTTGATTATTTAATATTACGTTTATAGTTACTAAATGTTGTAGGTTTTAGTTTAGAGTGCACATGAAACACTATAGACATGGTGGACATTGCATTGTTCGATATTGTTTATCGTTGGTGTAATTGGAGCTCTTCGTGGTGCTGCACACTTTGCATCCAAACTTAAAGGTAACAGTTATTTGTCCCGTCGTATTACACATGCAATGCGTTTTTATCTTGGAAATTAAGATTTTATATTATTATGCAATACAGACAATCAATCAATCAATCTACATTTTTCGTACAAGGTGATAAATTTAGCTGAATGCAAACTGTTTAATCTAATAGGTTTGCAGAGCAAGCTTCTTTTTAAACACGTTTTAACTTTTTAAAAGCCCCCTTTGTGTGTCTCTTTGTGCTGTTTAAGTAAGTCTTTCAGATATTTTAAATATTTTGTTAATTTGCCATTCAATTGAAATAGTTAGACACTTGAAAAATATATATCAAGTCGTTTTATTCTGGTTAGTTAGTTAGTTAGTCAGTTATTTAGTTGGTTGGTTCAAAAATAATGTTTTGCTTTCTATGTTCAATGTGATACACTGTTTTATCCGCGCGATGTCAGTATCTGCCTGCTGTTTGAGCGTTGCTGATAAGATGAGGCTCCTCCTATTTTTCTTGTTGTGTCTTCCTGGATAAGGGCTTTGTTAGTCGTACGCCATTGTCCTCAGAAACAGACCACTCGTTGATTTAGCAGAAAACGTTTTACAGACATGCGGGAGAATGTCTGTGATTTAGCATACACGACAATGGTTTGGTAAAATGGCTGTAACAGAGGGGCATATTTTGAACGTGTGGATATTTTTTAGTATCTTTCTTCGATTTGGGATTTTTGCAGATGGACAGATTGTGTATTCCACAACGGAGGAGGCAAATCCAGGCACGACAGTTGGAAATTTAGCTAAGGATTTTAACTTGAATTTACAGGACATTGAAAGACGTGGATTTCAAATCGTGTCGGAGACCAACCGAAGGTATTTCGATTTGAATTTAAAGACTGGTGTTCTTCACGTTAAGGAGAGAATAGACCGAGAGGATCTATGCGAACAGAATGCGAAGTGTTCTTTACCTCTAGAAGCAATTGTTAACTCTCCTTTGAATATATATAGATTTGAGGTAAACGTACTAGATATTAATGATAATCCACCATTATTTCGTACCTCAAAGACAACACTAAATATTTCAGAATTAGCTTTTCCAGGGGAGCAGTTCGCTCTGCCGAGCGCGTTTGACGCGGATGTGGGCATTAATTCGGTAAAGAGCTACAAGCTGAGTGCGAATGAACACTTTTCTCTGGATGTTCAGAGCGGAGGAGAGCAGAGTGTGTCTGCTGAATTGGTGCTGCAGAAAGCTTTAGACCGAGAGAAACAGCCATTAATTGAGCTCAAACTCATCGCTGTAGATGGAGGAAAACCTCCAAGATCAGGAACAATGCAAGTAATCGTAAATGTCGAAGATGTCAACGATAACATTCCTGTTTTCAGTAAATCATTGTATAAAGCTCGTCTAAATGAAAACTCGCCACCTGGTACTTCTGTTGTTACAATTCAGGCCAGCGACCCAGATGAGGGTGTAAATGGTCAGATTGTTTATGCTTTAGTTAACCACGATAATGATAAAAATGTCGAATCATTTTCAATAGATCCTGAAACTGGAGAGATTACTGTGAAAGGTGATGTAGATTACGAAAGAAAAAATGCTGTGGAATTCCGCGTGCAGGCACAAGATAAAGGGCATAAACCTAGAGCTGCTCTTTGTAAAGTGCTACTTGAAATTGTTGACATTAACGATAATGTTCCAAAAATCTCTGTAACATCTTTGGTTAATAATGTCAAAGAAGATGCTCCGATTGACACAATGGTTGGTATGATAACCGTCACTGATAATGATGCTGGTAAAAACGGACAGGTAACGTTAAAAATGCAGGGCTCTGCTCCTTTTAAAGTCCAGAACTCGTACAATAATTATTATACCTTAGTTGTTAACGGGCTCGGACACACTGAAGAGTGACGTAGTGGTTTTCCCTGCGCCATTTCCGCCTGCTGATGCAGAACTGATCAGTATTAATGGAGGAGACACTTTTACCAGAACACAAACACTTCCTAAAAAAGAAAAGGTAAGACATTTTTATTACACGTGAGGAAAACGCTTTAGTTAGAGCTGCTGTTTCTACTTTGACATTTTCGTGCTGTATATTGCTAATTCAAGTGATTTTATGTAAGGTTTGAGGGGAAATAAGAATCCGTATTACCTTATTTCCCCCTAAAATAATCTACTCTGGTTTCACGGAGGTTTAAAGTGCATTTTTATCGTCTTTTGCACTAACGCACTCTGTCCGTGGTGCTGAAAACGCAAATGTTCATATCTGTTCTTTCAGGGCGTTAGTGAGTTGATGAAAAGCTATATTAATTTATTACATTAGAACTAAATAATACAATAATTTTTTTAAATAAAAAATTTAAGGTTGAAATGTGTAATAACGTAGTCTTTATGCGAACAGCGCTGCTTTGTTTACAAAGGTGGTCTCATGAAAATGCATATAAATAGTACGTCAAATACAAACAGAAATTCGTGCTATTGACACGCAGAAATGGACTTTGGCTTGCATATGATACACATGTTTTTGATGTGCATATAATATGCCGTTTTCGCGTGCAAATGATAAGCATCTACCCCACAACCCTAATCATACCCATTGCGTATCATGTGCAAGTCAAAGTCAAATTATGCGTATAAATAGTACGCCAAATCGAAACATAAACGCGTGCTATTGATACGCACTTTCATGAGTTCGGGTTGTACCGTGGAAACAACCCTGTTTCTGCTGTTCCATTAGCAGAGTGAGGCAGTGGATTTGCGATTTTATTCAGCCTGTCTGTTATTTTTGTTCAGGCCAATGCGAAAATTGGGCTAAAATTGTGTTGGTAATCTTAACTGGAAGATGGAAAACAAACTAATGTGCATTCTTAAAATCTCAACACTTCAATAATAAAGTAGCCTATGTAGAATTGTTTATGGAGCAGATAAAATGCCTATAATGTATCATTTTAACCCATAATCCTGATTTTCTTTAAAAAAAATTATGTAAAGGATGAAATATGAGGTTTATAATGTTATGAAACCTTTTTTTAAGTCAAAACTTTGAGCATGTAGTGCATGTTGATATATAATATGTTATGTTGTAAGTCAACAAATCAACATTTTCAGCATATTTTCAGTGTGAGTATGAGTACTTCTGGAACATTTCCAGCACATTTTAACAATACACTGATAATATTGATAACTGTGATAATTTTGGTTACTACAATCATGAAATGAAATGTTATGTTATGCCATTTTATGTCTAATAACAATAGCTATGTGAAATAATTCTGATTGAAAAAAAAAAACCTTTTAAACGGATAAAAAATATTTTTCAAGTAAACATGGAAATATGGCATTACATTATTAAATATTTACTTAAAATCTCAGGAGGGGTTCTTCAAGTAAATAATTTAGGCCACAGGGGTTCGGGTTACAAAAATGTTTGAAAACCACTGCCCTTAAATAAGTAATATATTTCCGTTTCAGGTCTTCTTATTGTGTCTTGTACTTTTATTTTATTTTATTTTATTTTCATTTTTTAATTAATTAATTTATTTCCCAGTTAAATAGCCTTGTTAAGTGTGTGCGTTCAATGCCACTGTTATGATTAGATAGCCAGTCTGATGTGGACACTTACTCCATTCTAGGAATTATCCAATTTATTTTAATTTTATGCTCTTATAACCGAAAGATTAAACAGCAAAATATTTTATGTAGAAACAGTGTAGTTTGCAGTTGTCCGCACGATGTCACTAGCCTTCCATTTTTACAGGAGAATTTTCTTGACTCCACTAAGCTCCGCCTCATTTTGAAGCTTCCCGAGCGGAGAGGCTTTGTTCAGAATTCGCCATTGTGTCTGGAAGCTGCTGTAGCGTGTGGTTTCCTGTGAATAGTTCATGAGTGACTATGCTATCGGATTTTTATCACTTTGGCATATCCAGAAGGTTTAGAGACAATGGCGTCCAAAGGGCAATCAAGATTCCGCGTTGGGATTTCTGTGTACTTTCTGTGTTGGCTTTGGAATATTTCGGGCGGACAGGTGGTGTATTCGGTGTCGGAGGAAGCAAACCCAGGCACTACAGTTGGGAATTTGGTGAAGGATTTTAATCTGAATATTCAGGATCTTGAGGTACGAGGGTTTAATATCGTTCCGGGACCGAACAAGAGGTATTTCGATTTTAATACTAAAACTGGAATTCTCCATGTCAGAGAGAGAATTGATCGAGAAGAGATTTGCGAGCAGAATATTAAATGCTCTCTGCCTTTAGAAGCCATGATTAGCTCCCCATTGAATATTTACCGATTTGAGATACATGTTTTTGACATTAATGATAATGCACCAGCATTTCGGACATCAATAACAAATTTGAATGTCAGCGAATCAGCTATTCCAGGGGAGAGATTTCCATTACAGAGCGCGTTTGACGCGGATGTGAGCAGTAATTCGCTAAAGAGTTACAAGCTGAGTCCAAATGAACACTTTTCTCTGGATGTACAGGGCGGTGGAGAGCAGAGTGTGTCCGCAGAGTTAGTGCTGCAGAAAGCTTTAGATCGAGAGAAACAGCCTGTTATCCAGCTCACACTGACTGCTGTAGACGGAGGAAAACCTCCCAAATCTGGTACAACAGAGATTATAGTTAAGGTTGTGGATGTTAATGATAATATTCCTCTTTTCAGTAAGTCTTTGTATAAATCCAAAGTAACTGAAAATGCAGCACGTGGTACTCACGTGCTATCTGTTCAAGCAGTTGATTTAGATGAGGGTGTGAACGGTGAAATCATTTATTCAATAGTTAATCACAACAATGACAAAAATGTTGATTCATTTTCGATAAACTCAGAAACAGGTGAAATTACTGTAAAAAAAGATGTGGATTACGAGCAGAGGAATGCAATCGAACTCAGAGTACAAGCAAAAGACCGAGGTTATAACCCGAAAGCAGCACACTGTAAAGTATTGGTCGAGGTCTTGGATGTCAATGACAACATTCCGGAGATATCTGTGACGTCTTTAGTGAGCACTGTTAAAGAAGATGCTCCGATTGACGCAATGGTTGGAATGATAACTGTAGCTGATAATGATGCTGGTAAAAACGGACAGGTAACCTTAAACATTCAGGGCTCTGCTCCATTTAAAGTTCAGAACTCGTACAAGAATTATTATGCCTTAGTTGTTAACGGGCCTTTAGACAGAGAGCGCGCATCTGAGTATAACGTGACTATCACAGCTACTGATGAAGGGACTCCGCCTCTCTCTAGCACCAGTGTCATTACTGTACACATTTCTGATGTGAATGACAATGCGCCGTGCTTTCCAGAGCCGATCATTAATGTTTATGTGAAAGAGAACAGTCAGATTGGAGCTGTTATTCATACAGTATCTGCTTTTGATCCTGACGTAGGTGATAATGCCCGGATAACATATTCTTTACTAGAAAGCTCGAAAAGCGGCCCGGTAACATCCATGATCAACATAAACTCTGATAGTGGAGATATACACAGTTTACAGTCGTTTAACTATGAGGAGATAAAAACGTTTGAGTTTAAAGTTCAGGCCACAGACTCTGGTGTTCCTCCGCTCAGCAGTAACGTGACTGTAAATGTTTTTATCCTGGATGAGAATGACAACAGTCCCGGGATTCTCGCGCCCTATTCCGAGCTCGGTTCCGTTAACACAGAGAACATTCCCTATTCTGCTGATGCGGGCTACTTTGTGGCCAAGATCAGGGCTGTAGATGCAGATTCTGGTTACAATGCGCTGCTGTCTTACCACATCTCTGAACCCAAAGGAAACAATCTGTTCCGAATCGGAACCAGCAGCGGGGAGATCAGGACTAAGAGGAGAATGAGTGACAATGACCTGAAAACTCACCCGCTGGTCATTCTGGTTTGTGATAACGGAGAGCCCTCACTGTCAGCGACTGTGTCTATTGATGTTGTGGTTGTTGAAAGCGCAGATGAAGTCAAGACCACATTCAGACATGCGCCGATAAAGGAGGAGAGTTTCTCGGATTTAAATCTGTATTTGCTGATCGCCATTGTGTGCGTGTCCGTCATCTTTTTACTGAGTCTCATCAGTTTGCTAGCTGTAAAATGCCACAGGACGGACAGGAGTTTGGGCAGGTACAGCGCCCCGATGATCACCACACACCCTGACGGGAGCTGGTCTTACTCCAAATCTGCTCAGCAGTATGACGTGTGTTTTAGCTCGGACACACTGAAGAGTGACGTAGTGGTTTTCCCTGCGCCATTTCCGCCTGCTGATGCAGAACTGATCAGTATTAATGGAGGAGACACTTTTACCAGAACACAAACACTTCATAATAAAGAAAAGGTAAGATATAACATATAAAGCATTTTTTAAATTTATTTAATTTTAATTCGTCAGATGCAATTGTCAAATGCGTAAAACGTAAACAAATGTTTTTATATTTCTAAAATGTATAGATATTGAATATAAAATATATTTTAATTGATACTGTCATTATAGTTGTTTCTTCTAAGCCACTTGGTGTCAGTATAGAAGTGATTTGCAACTTTTGTGCGCGCCCACGTTGGCTCCTCCTCAATCGCCTTTGAGCGCGCGCTCATGCGCTTTGTTCTGTTTCGTCTTTATGGCTGTATGCACTGAAACAAAATGGCATATAGGGCAATATAACCAAAGTATGGAACCTGTTTTATTAATATTCTTTTTGCGGCGATTGATGGAGTTTACAAAATAGATGCGTAATGGCTCGGAAAATTCTTCTTGGAGGGACCGTTGTGTGTCTGGTTGTGCTGCGCTTGCTGTCTATAGCTTCAGCCCAGATCGCATATTCCATTTCAGAAGAGGTGAACACGGGGACGTTTGTTGGAAATATCGCAAAGGATCTTAATTTGAATGTTCAAGAACTGGAATCACGCGGATTTCATATCCCCGCAGTTTTAGGAAGAAAATATTTTGAGGTTAATTTGAAAACTGGTGTTCTGTTCGTTAGCGAACGGATCGACAGGGAGAACTTTTGTCCTGCCGCACCGCAATGTGCAGTGAATTTAGAAGCCATTGTTAATAATCCGTTAAACCTGTTTCGCATTGAGATAAATGTTTTAGATATTAATGACAATGCTCCATCGTTTCGTGATAGGTCTAAACAATTTAACATATCAGAGAATGCCTTTGTTGGAGACCGATTTCAGTTGCCGAGAGCATCGGATCCTGATGTTGGAGCGAACTCGGTAAAGAGCTATAAGCTGAGTCCGAACGCGCACTTCTCCCTGGATGTACAAAGCGGAGGAGAGCAGAGTGTGTCGGCTGAGTTAGTGCTGCATAAAGCTTTAGATCGAGAAAAACAGCCTGTGATCCAGCTCACATTGACTGCTGTAGATGGAGGAAAACCTCCCAAATCAGGTACAATCCAGATAGTCATAAATGTGCAAGATGTGAATGACAACGCACCCGTGTTTGGCAAAGCTCTTTACAAAGTGCGTCTTGTTGAAAATGCATCAGTGGGAACATTAGTCATAAATCTGAGTGCCACTGATTTAGATGAGGGTGTAAATAGTGAAATTATGTATTCTTTAGTTCACCAAGACAGCGATGACAAAACAAACGGCGTTTTTAAAATTGATTCTTCTACCGGCGTGATTTCAGTGCAGGGCAGTGTGGATTTTGAGCAACACAATGCTTACGAGATTCATGCTCAGGCTAAAGACAAAGGGTCCAGTCCGCGATCCGCTCACTGTAAAATATTAGTAGAGGTGTTAGATATAAACGACAACGAGCCAGAAATATCATTAACGTCACAAGTGAACACAGTAAGGGAGGATGCTAAAAAAGAAACAACGGTTGCTTTGATAACCATATCGGACAAAGACTCGGGAAAGAATGGGAATACGCATGGGAAAGTGGTAGGTGATGTTCCTTTTAAATTGCAGTCGTCATATAAGAATTATTATTCTCTTATAGTGGATGGGCCATTGGATAGAGAGCGTGTTGATAGATATAATGTCACAATCATGGCGTCAGATGAAGGGACTCCACCTCTCTCTGCCGCTCGTGTTTTTACAGTGTATGTATCTGATGTTAATGACAATCCGCCACGTTTCCCAAATCAGACAGCGATGACAAAACAAACGGCGTTTTTAAAATTGATTCTTCTACCGGCGTGATTTCAGTGCAGGGCAGTGTGGATTTTGAGCAACACAATGCTTACGAGATTCATGCTCAGGCTAAAGACAAAGGGTCCAGTCCGCGATCCGCTCACTGTAAAATATTAGTAGAGGTGTTAGATATAAACGACAACGAGCCAGAAATATCATTAACGTCACAAGTGAACACAGTAAGGGAGGATGCTAAAAAAGAAACAACGGTTGCTTTGATAACCATATCGGACAAAGACTCGGGAAAGAATGGGAATACGCATGGGAAAGTGGTAGGTGATGTTCCTTTTAAATTGCAGTCGTCATATAAGAATTATTATTCTCTTATAGTGGATGGGCCATTGGATAGAGAGCGTGTTGATAGATATAATGTCACAATCATGGCGTCAGATGAAGGGACTCCACCTCTCTCTGCCGCTCGTGTTTTTACAGTGTATGTATCTGATGTTAATGACAATCCTCCACGTTTCCCAAATCCTGTCATAAATATCTTTGTAAAAGAAAATGGCCCTAAAGGCCAAATCATTTACACTATTTCAGCTGTTGATCCAGATTTAGATGAAAATTCCAAAATTACTTATGGATTATTACCACTTCATAAATCTGGAAATGCATATTCTGTTGTAAGTATAAACCCTGATAGTGGGGATATACACAGTTTACAATCGTTTAACTATGAGGAGATAAAAACGTTTGAGTTTAAAGTTCAGGCCACAGACTCTGGTGTTCCTCCGCTCTGCAGTAACGTGACTGTAAATGTTTTTATCCTGGATGAGAATGACAACAGTCCCGGGATTCTCGCGCCCTATTCCGAGCTCGGTTCCGTTAACACAGAGAACATTCCCTATTCTGCTGATGCGGGCTACTTTGTGGCCAAGATCAGGGCTGTAGATGCAGATTCTGGTTACAATGCGCTGCTGTCTTACCACATCTCTGAACCCAAAGGAAACAATCTGTTCCGAATCGGAACCAGCAGCGGGGAGATCAGGACTAAGAGGAGAATGAGTGACAATGACCTGAAAACTCACCCGCTGGTCATTCTGGTTTGTGATAACGGAGAGCCCTCACTGTCAGCGACTGTGTCTATTGATGTTGTGGTTGTTGAAAGCGCAGGTGACGTCAAGACTCCATTCAGACACGCGCCGATAAAGGAGGAGAGTTTCTCGGATTTAAATCTGTATTTGCTGATCGCCATTGTGTGCGTGTCCGTCATCTTTTTACTGAGTCTCATCAGTTTGCTAGCTGTAAAATGCCACAGGACAGACAGGAGTTTGGGCAGGTACAGCGCCCCGATGATCACCACACACCCTGACGGGAGCTGGTCTTACTCCAAATCTACTCAGCAGTATGACGTGTGTTTTAGCTCCGACACACTGAAGAGTGACGTAGTGGTTTTCCCTGCGCCATTTCCGCCTGCAGATGCAGAACTGATCAGTATTAATGGAGGAGACACTTTTACCAGAACACAAACACTTCCTAAAAAAGAAAAGGTAAGCCTTTCTAGGGACCTCTATTTGTCCAGTTAAAATATCCCTTTTTCCTCTTCAGTTCCTATGTGTGCTTTTACATAGTTCCAAGTCTTGTACTGAGTTCCTGACACCTCTGCAGAATCATGGGCCTTTTTAGATCGCCTGAGACTGAGAACTCTCCATGGTGCTGAAACACACTAATATTAAGTATAGTTTGAATCTGTCCGGCAACAATGTGCTGAATTGAGCAGTACTTTTTATGGTGCCTATGCTATACCAAATTTTATGTTTGGCCAAACTATACAGATCCGTTTCAAAGGTTTTTCTCATATTTGCAGCTGTATTTTATTTAAAGTTTGTTTGTTTGTTTGTTTGTTTTGTGTTCTCTTTATTTATTTTTTTTTCTCCCCAGTTCTGGCCACTTGTATTATGCAGAAATGACTACGGTTGTTTCTAAGTCTGAACATAAGTCAGACGGCTGTCACGTGGAGCGGATTTGTCATTGCCTGTGTCATGTTGGTTAAGGAGGCCATGCCCGGCTTCTGTGTTCCCCTTGAATGATCTCTGGCACATAAACATCAAAAAAGGATGGTACTACTGAATTTGCCAAT